CGTGCTATAAGTAAAATGACTGGTGGCTTAGAGATTATTTTCTCATGTAAGAAATTATGGAGGTAATCAGTGTGGTGCTAATGGTGAGCTATCATCAAAGACATAGGTGCCTTCTGTCTTTTGGCGCTGATGTACATGTTTTTCATCTTTTGCATTATCTCATAGTCCAAAACAGCTGCTGCAGCTGCAGCCATTGCATTTGCAGACCAAGCATCAGGAAGAAGAAATGGAGAAAAAGCATAAAGGCTTTATCTCTAATTTGAGCTTCTTCTCTTGAAGTAGCCTTCTAGTAGTCACATGAAGGTTAGTGATTTAGCCACAAGGGAAGTTGGGATCTGTAGGTTTTTTAGCTGGTGCATTGTCATCCCTCCAAAATTGAAATTCTATAAATGAAAAATAAGTGGCAAGTGGATACTATATGGTCACCATCCGTTTCTGCCGCGGGGAATGAATGGCACTGAGATGATGACGAAGTCCCCACTGGCCAGGTTGATGATTTTTCTTCATTAATGCATTGGGCTGTTTTTTCCTTTCCAGACAAAATCATATTCTGGGTCTGTGAACTGGGGAAAGTGTTTTGGTTTGATGCAGCAATAGGGACCTTGTGGCACTGCTGAATGTGAGAGAGAAGCATGGATTGATAGCTTTGCCCTGGTAGACTGAAGGTTTGTCGTGATTACATGTTCCAGATACTGGTAAAACACCTTTTTGGAGGAGGAAGAACCCATTTTGGAAAATTGGTAACAAAATATATGGTGGCCTACTAAATTGTATATGAAGATATGAGATGGAGAACATGAATGAGGCTACCTCTACTGATGTTTTTATTTTCTTATTTCTTTTGTACATTGAAGAGGTTTTCAGAGGACAGAGTTAGGGTTTAAACTTGTTGATTTTATTTTGTCACTTATAAGTTACTAGAAATCTACATTTATATGGTATTTTTGAAGATGCTAACTTTAGAAATGTGAATTCTTACATTTTTGAAATAAACCCCAAATATTATCTTCACAGAATTTAGCATCTAAGTCAAACTACTGTTTAACCTCCATATCCGTGAGACTTCTGAGCTCTTATACAGGAATCTACTTTTGTTTGTTTGTTTAGGAATCTACTTTTATTTCTCTGAGCACCTAGTGAAGGATATTGCTTAAATGAGGAACATTGACCCTTAATTGGGTGTTACTGTTTGATAGTCATACTACCAGCGGGAAACACGTTGATTTATACCTGGAGTATGTAACATAGAAGTAGAAATGTGCAGTTTTCTTTTCCCTTCCTCTTGGTCTTGATAATGACTATCTGGTGAACATTTACAGTCCGAAGTAATATTCTGAGGCATGTTTGTTCAGTCCCTTCATCATTCAAATATTTACTAAGCATCTAGTGTATAACAAACAGAAAGTGTTGGGGATATAGCAGTGAACAATAAGCACCTACCATTATGGGGAGAGACAGACAAACACGTGCACACATGCACGCACACACACACACACGTGCACGTGCATGTGCGCAAAAAGTGTTAGGAAGACCAGTGGGATAACAACAGAGAGTGAGTGACTAGTTAAATGCTGTTTGATATAGGATTGTTAGGAATGGCTTTTCCAAAAAGCAATGATTTCCCTTTTAGGTAGAAGGCATGAGCAACTGCAAAGGCCTTCTGAGGTGGGAGTGAGGTTGGCAAGTTTAAGAGATGGCAGGGAGAGCATGGTGGCTATAGGCAGTGAACAAGACAGGAGATAGGGTTTGAGGTCAGAGAGGTAAGAGGGTATTTAAGATTTCTGGAGCTGCCATAACAAATGACCACAAACTTGGTGAAATAAGAAGAATTTATTCTTAAAGTTCCAGAAGGCAGAAGTCCAAAATTATTATCACAGGGGGAAATCAAAGTGTCCCGAGAGCCACGCTCCTTTTGGAGGGGAGAAAGTGGTGGCTGCTGGCAGTCCTTGGCTTGCAGCTGCATCAGTCCCATCTTTAAACTCAGCATCTTCAAATCTTTCTCTGTTGCATCTTCACACTGTCTTCTCAGTGTGTAAAATCTCCGTTTACTTCCTTCTTAAGAGGTTGTGATTGCATTTATCCAGATATTCCAGGATAATCTCCCCATCTAAAGATCCTTAGCTTTATAACATCAGCAAAGACCTTTCTTTTTTTGCCATATAACGTAACTACATTCATAGGCTAGTGATCAGGAAATGGATATCTTTTGAGTTTTTTGCCTACCACAGAGGGCAGCTGAAAGAACAAGAGTTAGGACTTTGAATTTTATTCGCAACAAGATGGAAATCCATTGGAGGGTTTTTTTGCATCATATAATCTGTCCTGTGCTTTTAAAAAGACCACTCTAACTGCTGCATGGTAGGTACTAGACTGAGGAGGAGAATGACAGTCGTCTGTTTCTAAAACTTTGTTTTTGATCTAAGTAATTCATGAATATCTTCCTGTTGAAAAACTTTCATATTATATGGGAAAGACCAGACTCCCCTGCCATTCAGTTATATTCCTTTTCATGCCTTTTCCTGGGTATTCATACCTGTTAATAATTATCTATAAAAATAGTTTAAGTTGTGTGAGGTTTACATAAAATTTATCATCTCAGGTATATTCAGCTCCTTGGTGTTTTCATTTGCAAATGTGTGTTGGACATCTTTTTAACTCCATAGTATTTGATAGTACATATACTATTATTTATATAATCCCCTATTGATGGACATCTTTTTAACTCCATAGTGTTTTTGATTATACATATACTATTATTTATACAATTTTCTACTGATGGACATAGAGGTTGTTTCTATTTTCTCTGTTCTAAATTCTACCACAGTGGAGATTCTTGTAAAGCATGTCTCCTGGCACACATCCACAAGTGTTCCTCTTGGATAGATACCGAAATGTCAAGTATGTATAATACTTTTATACTATAATGGATCCTGCCAAATTGCCTTCCAATTTATACTAGAAGTGTCTAAGAGTATTTGTTTCCATGTAATGAAAGTATTGAATTTCTTTTGTGGATTTGGTGAATTTTTCTAATGAGTTTCTTAATGGTCTCACTGATTTGTAGAAGTTCTTTATGTATTTAGAAATTTATCCTTTCTTTGTTAGACATGTTCAGTTTTTTCCTCTCAGGGTTCTTTAGGGTAACTTCTGAAATTGAAAAGTTTATATATTTTTTGTTGTTATTGATTTTATAGTTTACATCTTGCTTAAGAAGACCTTCCCTAACCCAATGGCAAAAACATAAACATATTCACCTATAAACTTCTATTACCACTTTTATAGTATTCCAGAGAAATAGATTTTTTTTTTTTAATGAAGTGTAGTAGGGATCTGATACTTAGATAGCTATTTGTCCCAAGAGCATTTATAGAACAGTCCATCCTGTTAGAGCTGCTTTAAAATGCTAACTTTATTAAATACTGTGCATTTGCTTAGAAATCTGTCTTTCAGGACTCTTTCATTTGTTTCTTTGATCTGTTTGTTGTTACTCTTCACTAATATCACAATGTTTTGATTATGAGAGTTTTATAATACATCTGCAAATTTACCTCATGATTCTTATTCAAAGTTGTGTTGGCTATTTTGTGCATTTTCTCTTTCACATAGGATTTTGTAGTTGTCAATTTTTTTTTTTTTTTTTGGTAGGGGGATGGCATTTTGCTCTGTTACCCAGGCTGGATGCAGTGACACAACCTTGGCTCACTGCAGCCTCCACCTCCCAGGTTCAAGTGACTCTCCTGCCTCAGCCTCCCAAGTAGTTGGGATTATAGGCGTCCACCACCACGCCCAGATAATTTTTGTAGTGTTTAGTAGAGACGAAGTTTCACTATGTTGGCCAGGTTGGTCTTGAACTGCTAACCTCAGGTGGTCCACCCATCTTGGCCTCCCAAAGTTCTGGGATTATAATGTGAGCCACTACACCTGACTAGCTTGTCAAATTTTATGACAAAATATTTTATAATTTTAATTGGGATTATGTTAAATTATAGATTAATTTGTGGAAGGTTAACAACTTTAAACATACGGAGTTTTCCCTCCAGGAGCATTAATATTTCTGGCCTTTTTATGTTCTCTGTAGTTTTTCTTCTATAGTTTTTTATTTTGAAATACATCAAACATAAATACAAGAACAAAGTATAATATATCAAATGCCTATGACCAACATCAGGGTTCATTAGATTTTAACATTATGCTATATATGTCCTTCATATTTATGTTTTATCACTCATAAAGCATTAAAGATAGAAATGAGAACCCCCATATATGTTTTTAAGTTGATTTTCCCTTCTTCCCAGAGATACCATGGTCTTGAATAAGATCAAGAGAGATCTGTTTATGGAAAAGTGGGTATAATATTATCTGTCATGTTTTAACTTGCTAGGGTTATTATATATACTAGAGATATGGATGTGTTTTTATGTGATTGGGAATGAGTATACATGGATAGATTATATTGTACAGTTGAAGCCCTAATAGAAAAGCTAATAGTATGATGTTTTTATATATCTGGAATTCTGTGATTTCTGCCTTTTGTGATCATTTCATGTTTACTTGTGAATATACCTGATAGCAAATTTAATGTATCCCATGTTTTTTTTTAATTGCATTTTAGGTTTTGGTAATGTATCCCATTTTTAAATGTTTTTCAAAGTCAGATTTGTCTTTCTACCTCCCTTGTACTTTGGGATCAATTCCAAACTGACTGTCGTTCCCTAAGAGGTCATTGTGTTCAGCTCATTTGTTAATGCATAATATCAGTTAGAGAATATATATAAAGTGGTAAACATTCTACTGTTTTTGATGTGCAGTTATTCATGTCATTGTATTTCAGCCTAGTGCACAATGAACTGACAGTTTTTTCTTGCCTCTTATTAGTGAAAACCTCTAAAATCATCTTACATTTTCATATTTCTCAGATTTGTATTTGAGAATAAATATGTGTGGGTATTTTTAGATTTTGTCAGCTTTAGATCTTACTTGGTTCTCTCTTAATTTCTCAGGTATTAATATAAGTGATGAGGACTTTCTTTTGCTGGAGCTTTTACACTGGTTTAAGGAAGAATTTTTTCACTGGGTGAATAACATTTTGTGCAGCAAATGTGGTGGACAGACAAGGTCCAGAGAGAGATTACTGCCCAGTGATGATGAGCTGAAGTGGGGTGCAAACAATGTGGAAGATCATTACTGCGATGCCTGCCAGTTCAGCAATCGATTCCCAAGGTGGGTGTCCTGGACAGTAAAGTCAGAGCAATCTCTTAGTGAAATAGTTAGAAATGAATTTTTACTAAATGAACTTTTAAATATTTCTTTTAATTATCAGAAATATATTCCTCTAAAACACAGGTGAGCAAACTGTGGCTGAAATCCAGCCAACGTCCTGTTTGTAAGTAACATTTTATTAGAACATAACCATGCTGATTCATTTGCTTATGATCTGTTTTTATGCTGCAACAGCAGAATTGAATAATGGTGACAGAAATGATAGGACCCACAAAGTCTGAAATAGTCACCATCTGTCTTTTATAAGAAATTTGTTGTCTCTTGTTCTAAAGTATAACTTGAGTATAGTCATACATGTTTAATGCTATAAGTCTTGTTAATCGTTTTTGATACCTAATTTTTAGCTGTCCTATAACTAATAATGATAATACTGATTATTGTGAGAGTAAATACAATTATATTTAAAATAATCATTCGATGATAATATAGAAGGTAAAAGTACACTTCAGTATGATTATATTATTTTCTTTTTAAACACAGAAGTTTAATTAGGTGCTTCCCGTGCCCAACCTAATCTACTCCTCGTATCTCTAAATTTTAAACTAAAGAAATTTTAAATTTTAAATTAATTTCCATTCTTTAATTTATAAGCCTGTTGTCAGATTTTCTGAATTGGTGATGCTTATAAAGTTTGGTTGTATTATCAGTCAAGCAAAGATACCGTGTTTTAAAAATACCTAATTTTTTTTAGCTTAGGGACATATTTTCTAATAATGTGCTTGTTTTAACCTCTAGCTCTTCCCTATATGGGGCTGGGATGATGAACACTGTTAATTAGAAGCTAATTTGGTTCTTTGATTTGTATACACCAGTAGTATACATAGAAGGTAGAAGCATAGGATGCTCTAATTCTACCTCCGTAATGCGAATTTACAACTTTTAAAAATTATTGGCTGGGCAAGGTGGCTTATGCCTCTAATTCCAGCACTTTGGGAGGCTAGGGTGGGCAGATCACAAGGTCAAGAGTTCAAGACCACCCTGGCCAACATAGTGAAACTCCCATCTCTTGTAAAAATATAAAAATTAGCTGGGCATTGTGGTACATACTTGTAGTCCCAGCTACTCAAGAGGCTGAGGCAGGGGGGATCTCTTGAACCTGGGAGGTTGAGGTAGCAGTGAGCTGACATTGTGCCACTGCACTCCAGCCTGGGCTACAGAGTGAGACTGAATCTCAAAAAAAAAAAAAAAAAATTATTTAATTACCTAACTTCTAAATTCATTTTATTTAGCTTAAATGCTTTGTTAAGCCTCTGCTTAACAGACTTGTCATTACAGAGCCCATTCACTGTTTTCTTTCCTTCCAAAGTGTGTGGCTGACCTCTCTGCTCAGCTACAGCACTTTTCCTGCTCAGCTGTATCAGTTCAAAACCCATCTTAACACAAAATACAAAATTTAGTGTTCTCGAATTATCTGCTAATTTTATAATTGGAGTAACTTCTGAAAAGAGTGTTACAAATAAATCCCAAAAAACAACTCCAAATTAGCAGGCACCTTTAAATACTTCAAAAGAGTAAAATTTTTATCAAATTGATTGTTAGAAAAATAGTATTTTAGATAAAATTGAATTAAACTAAGCTAAAATTTTTGTTGAGTGATTTGTTAAAGTTGTTTACCTTTTAAATACAGTGAGCTAGTTACACCACTTTAGTGCTAATGCTTTAGGCAAATTTCCTAGAGATTTTGCTTGTCCAGATCTTATGTTATTCAAAACCCAGATCAAATATAAGCTGTCCTCCCCAGCCACTTTCACATAACACTAAATCTGATCTGTTGTATTGTTTAATTACATTCTGCCATATATTAAAATTATTTGTGTTCATTTCTTTTCTCAGGATTGTGAACACTGCTAAAGCAGAACTACTGTTTCATTATTCTTTACCAAATATTCCAACACTGTACCTCATATATTCTAGATTCCTAAATCAATATTTAAAAACAAATTAAGAAACATTTCTGTTTAGCATAGAGGTAATGTAATTTCTCTTAAAAATATTGATTTTGATCATAAATCAAAGTTGTTTTTTTTTTTTCAAACCAGATATAATAACCCTGAGAAACTTTTGGAAACAAGATGTGGACGGTGTGGCGAGTGGGCCAATTGTTTTACACTGTGCTGCCGAGCTTTAGGGTTTGAAGCTCGCTATGTTTGGGATTACACAGGTACAGTAGGGCTTTGCAGGCTTACAGATTTGGGTTTACATTCTGACCCCATCATTCTCTGTTACTTTTCAGCGTTGTTAGTCTGACCTTCCATTTGCCTTGTGTAAAACGGTAATAATACCAACCTTCCAGGTTTTTTGAAGGGATCACAAGAGTTTTATAAAACACCGAGCACTGTGCCTGGTGCTTTGCACTGTAAATATTCTTTTTTTCTCTTTATTTTATTTTTACTGATGCATAATAGATACACATATGTGGGGGAGGGGGTACTTGTGATAATTTAATAATACATTTGTATAAATTCTACAGAGCAAATCAGTATTAGTGGGATATCTGCCATCTTAAATATTTGTCTTTATGCTGAAAACATTTGAATTACTTTCTTTTAGCTATTATGAAATATCCAGTAGGTTATTGTGAACGATGAACACCCTATTGGTCTGTTCATTAGCAATTTACCATGGTGTTTATAGTGATGCTGTTTATATCTGGATAAAAACATGTTATGTACCAGAGATCTTCATTGCTTCACTCAAACCCATACCAAAAAAAAAAAAAAAAAAAAAATCTTCATTGCTATAGAAATTACTGTAAAAGATTTAGTAAACTTAAATCACAGTATACAAAAATAATATAATAAAAGTCATGTGATATTTGTGTTATCCTTATTTTAAAATGACTTGTGTGGTCTACATGTTTAAAAGTTGTTTTCCTTGTCTTTCCATTTTTCTAAAGAATTAAATGAAACCTTCCCTTAATAGTTAGTGTTCTCTTAAAATCAAATATAGAGCATATATTGACCGAAGATTCTGTTAGACCTCCTTCTGGTTCTGGTTCTTAAAGTCCAGAGAGACTACAGTTGCAAAAGTGGCATTAACTCCTTCATGATAGTAAACGCAGAATGATTTTTTTTATGCTGCTGTCCAATATGTCTACCTTCTTAAGAGTTATAGCATACATTAAGCCTAAAACTGACCAAATTAAAGGAGATTGGAAAAACATTTTAAGGATTTCAAAGAGACAGAGAAATTAATGCAGGTATTCTAAAATCCTGTGTGCCACAAAATGCTCACTTACTAACTAAAATTTAGAGATATTACACATTACTCTATGATTCTTAGGAGTTTTTATATAGTTATTGATAGTCATTCTGGTTTCATTGCCTTTTTTCCATTGCTCTCTTGTCTCTTACTTGAGTAGACCATGTCTGGACAGAAGTCTATTCTCCCTCTCAGCAGCGGTGGCTGCACTGTGATGCGTGTGAAGATGTCTGTGACAAGCCACTCCTTTATGAAATAGGATGGGGCAAGAAGCTTTCCTATGTAATAGCATTTTCTAAAGATGAGGTAGGGCATAAAAGAAAAAAACTTTTTCTAAAAATAAAATATATATTTTTCTTTTTTGACGATTTTATAAATGTATAATTAACATACAATAGCCTGCATATATTTAAATTGTACAATTTGAAAAGTTTTATCATTTGTATAGACCAAAATCATCACTGCCCATCAGTATTCATTGTATAGATGTGCCATAGTTGACCGTGTCACCTGTTAATGACTGTTTGGGTAGTTGCCAGTTTTTTTCGTGATTTCAAATTAAGCTGGTGTGAACATTCAGGCATACAAGTCTTTTTATGGGCATATGCTGCCTTTTCTCTTTGCTTAATGTCTAGGAGTAGAATGGCTGCACTATATGGTAGATATACATATAACTTTTTAAGAAACCGCTAAACTGTTTTCCAACACGATTGTGCCATTTTACATTTTCACCATCAGTACATGAGAGTTTCCAGTTTCTCCATGTCCTTGCTAACAGTTAGTATGATTTGACTTTCTAATTTTGTCCCCTTTAATAGGTGTGTAGTGGCATTTCATTATGGTTTTCATTTGTACCTTCCCTAATGACAAATAATATTGAGTATCTTTTTATATGTTTGTTTACTATCTGTATGTTCCCTTTGCTTATTTTTTTTAATTGGGTATTGTGTTTTCTTACTGTTAGATTTTGAGAGTTCTTTATATATTCTTATATAAGTCCATTATCAGATATGTGCTTTGCAAAGATTTTTCTCCCTATCCATAGTTTGTCTTTTCATGCTCTTAATGGCTTTTGAAGAGAAGAAACTTGTGTTCAGTTTACCTATTTGTTCTTTCACGGATTGCGCTTTTTGATGTTATATTTAAGAAATTTTTCACTGGACGTGGTGGCTCTCACATGTAATCCCAGCACACTGGGAGGCCAAAGTGGGCGGATCACAAGGTCAGGAGTTTGAGACCAACTTGGCCAATGTGGTGAAACCCTGTCTCTACTAAAAATACAAAAATTAGCCGGGCATGGTGGTACATGCCTGTAGTCCCAGCTACTCGGGAGGCTGAGGCAGAAGAATCGCTTGAACCTGCAAGGCAGAGGTTGCAGTGAGCCCTGATTATGCCACTGTACTCCAGCTTGGGTGACAGAGCAAGACTCCATCTCAAAAACAAAAAAGAAAATAAAAATTTTGCCTAGTCCTTGGTCGCAACGATTTTCTCCTATGTTTTGTTTTAGAAGTTTTATATTTTTAGTTTCACACTTATGTCTGTGATTCATTTTGAGTTAATTTTTTTGTATGATCCAAGGTATGAAGTTTTTTTAAATAACATGGATAATGAATTGTTCTAGCACCATTTATTGAAAAGATTATTTTTTCTCCATTGAATTTTCTACTTGTATAAAAAATCAGTTTTATATTATAAAACTTATAAACTTATAAAATTAATGTTATAATTTAATACAATAAAAATGGATAAAATTGTGATTTGTTGAATTTTGTGGAATCAGATTTGCAGGCAAATTTTATAAAGGTAATGTTCTGAAATTTTCACTTTTTTTAAAGTGTTTCTGTTAAACTATCACTGTTTAGGAATGAATAAGTGATATATTCTCTTCAGTTTCTTTTACAGGCTTTCAAATTTTGTTTTATTTTATTTTTATTTAAAAAAAAAACTAGTGTTTTTTGAGGCAGAGTCTCACTCTTTTGCCCAGGCTGGAGTGCAGTGATGCAATCCCGGCTCACTGCAGTCTCCACCTTTCAGGTTCAAGCGATTCTCCTACCTCCGCCTCCCAAGTACCTGGGATTACAGGGACTCGCCACCGCACCTGGCTAATATTTTTGTACTTTTTTTAGTAGAGACAGAGAGGTTTCACCATGTTGGCCAGGCTGGTCTCAAACTCCTGACCTAAAATAATACTCCCACCTCAGCCTCCGAAAGTGCTGAGATTACAGGCATGAGCCACTGCACCTGGCCCCATGGCTTTTAAATTTTAAACAAAGGATAGTATTTTAAAAGTTGCATTTAAGGCCAGGCACGACACTCATGCTTGTAATCCCAGCACTTTGGGAGGCCAAGGTGGGTGGATCACCTGAGGCCAGGAGTTTGAGACCAGCCTGGCCAACCCATCTCTACTTTAAAAGATAACAAAAATTAGCCAGGCATGGTGGTGCGTGCCTGTACTCCCAGCTGCTTGGGAGGGAGGCTGAGACACTAGAATTGCTTGACCCTGGGAGGTGGAGGTTGCAGTGAGCTGAGATCGTGCTACTGCACTCTATCTAGCCTATGGAACGGAGCAAGACTTCGTCTCAAAAAAAAAATTTGCATTTAAAAATTACGTACATTCAAAATATTTAATAAGTAAAGGTTGATGGTTGTAATCTTGCTAAGCATTTGTATTCTGAAATTTGTTTTAGGTAGTCGATGTCACTTGGCGGTATTCCTGTAAACACGAAGAGGTGATTGCCAGAAGAACTAAGGTTAAAGAAGCATTACTTCGAGAAACTATTAATGGGCTTAATAAGCAGGTGTGTGGTGGCTGTCATTTTTGAAAGAAGTGTTGACATTTTTTATATAATCGAGAATAGCCGTTTATTAGCCCATTGAAATTCTTAAAGCAGTAGCATTATTTTGCAAGCAAGCATATTTTAATACGTTATATCTTTTTGTTCATTGGAAATTTTGATGACTCGTTTTAAATATTATGAGTTATTTCGGATTAAACTGTCTCATCTCAAAATTCTGTGAAACAAAATTTCAATATTTATAGTACCCAACATAAAAAGTATGTTGTGTTGTCTTATGTATCAATGTAACTGTGCCTTGGATATAATAACACACACTCATATTTATGTAGTATGTATGTACACACACACACATCCACGTGAGGAAATTTCTGAAGCAAGGCACAGGAAATTATTAACAATGACTACTTCTGAGGAGAGGAGCTGCGGTTCCAAAATGAAAGGTTCAATTTTTATTTTATACCTCCTTGATAGTACTGAAAATTTTAACTCTGTATGTTTGGTTTTTTTAATAACTTAATAAGCTATGAATTTTGGTGTCACAGGTAGTTAGAACAGGGCAGAGCACATGAATCCAATCAGTAATTATGATTCCAGGGAGGTTTCAGTCTGTTTTGAATTTGCTCTTACCCCTAATGTGTAGCCCTTCAGAGATCTTTACCTGAAAACCTGGAGTATTTGCTAGTACCCTTTGCTTTAGAAGACCCTGACCCTCAGTTTATTTTTACTCCAGCGCTGTAATTCAGCTACAAATTCTGCTTTGATTTCCAGCACTTTAGTCACCATTTTGTGCTTGGCTTCCCGGCCTCTTCTTACGCCACTTAAAAATTGACAAATGACTAGAAGGGAAAAGAAGTGCAGTATGTACCCTTCACCTCAATTCATTTCTTCTCTTGGAATCTTGACTTCTCAAGTTCTGGCTGCCTTGGTAGTTTTCTGTTGCATTCAAACAGGTGTTTATATGTGAGTGTTCTTGGTGTGTGTTTCCACTAGCTTTTTAGCTTTTCTCCACAAGACATTCTGACACAAGCCAGTCTATCTTATCCAGAAACAAGTTGCTACCTTCATTATAAATAAATCTAGGACAGTAGAGGTCATGGAGAGTTGGAAATCGGCATTAAATGATTTCCCAATGTAAAATTTATAAAATTATTTAAGTTTTCCACAATGTCCTTTTTATTTTCTGAATATATGTTTGAAAATAAAATTCATTACTTGTTTCAAGACCTCTTAAAATGCAAGTGTTTTAAGTATATTCCTGCTTAGAGATGGACCTATACATTCCCCTAATCTTAACAACTTTTTTTAAAAACATGAATTACAGAGGCAACTATCTTTGTCAGAGAACAGAAGGAAAGAACTTCTCCAGAGGATAATTGTGGAGCTTGTTGAATTTATTTCTCCCAAAACCCCTAAACCTGGAGAACTTGGTGGAAGAATATCTGGGTCAGTGGCTTGGAGAGTAGCCCGAGGTGAAATGGGTCTAGAGGTATTGAATTCATTCTAGCATGATGATCCTTTTACTTTCGTGCTTACTTTACTATGCAATTCCTATACTGTGCTCCAACTGCATTGACTATGACCTTTCAGTTATCTTTAGAGTAATTATTTTAAGATGCATACATTTGAAGAGAATCAATAACTGATTAACATAGCATAATCTTGTGTAAGAGTTAGCAAAGAGTTTTTAAAATGAGATTTAACTTTTTTTTTAACCTTATGTAAATTTTTAGTGCAGTATAATGATTACTGAAGAATATACAGGAAAATACACAAATTATAAGTGTACAGTTTAATAATTACAAATTTAACAGCCATGAAATTGCCAATCAGAATAAGAAATAGATCATTAGAACCACAGAAAGAAGCGTGAGTTTCTTTCCAGTCACTGCCTTACACCCTTGAAAATAATCATTATGCTGGCTTCTAACATTATATATTAGTTTTGCCTGTTATTGTGCTTTATATAAATGGAATCATATGGCATGTGCTGTTTTGTATTTAGCTTCTTTCATTCAGCTTTGTGTCAGTGAGATACATGTTGTAACATGTATGGTATGTTCTCATTTCTGTACTGTATAATATTTCACTGTATGAATGTAATTTTTCACTGTTGATGGCTATTTAGGTTGTTTCTAGTTTTGGCTGATGTAAATTGTGCTGCTCCGAAGATTCAGATTTATGTTTTCAGTTAATATGTTCAGGCATTTTGTTGGATATATACCTAGGAGTGAAATTGCTGGGTAATGAGTATGAGTATATTCAGCCTTAGTAGATACTGCCAAACAATTTTTCAAAATGATTGTGCCAGCTTATACTCTCACCAGCAGTATATGAAATTTTTTGACATCTTTATGTACACTTGGTATCGTCTTTTTCATTTTAGCAATTCTGGTGGCATATAGTAGTATCATGATTTTAATTTGCGTTTTGGTAATGACTAATTAGGTTGAATACCTGTTCTTTAAACTTTTGGATAGCCTCTTGTGAAGCGCTTAATTAGGTCTTTTAAAATGAGATTCCAATGCATTTAGAAGAATGCTGTTTTACTTTTTTCCTCGCCAGATGAGAACTTTATAGAGCGAGGAAAATACAGGATTTTGATAATTCAGCTGATGAAAGTCTATATTTCTTGGTATATGCTTGCATATATCCGTATTGGCTAGAAATTACTGTTGGTGGTATGATTACTGTTATATTAAAACCTATTTTAAGATATCACATGATTAATCTCCCAAAATTAAATGACAGTGGAAATATTATTTCTATAGGTAGGTCCTAAAGTTAAGAGTCTAGGTAAAAATCAGTGTAACGGGCATTAGGACATTATAGTAGACTGTCCTTTGCCCTTAGTGAGCTAAAGTTGAGTTACTGGTGAGCATTTAATGTAAATGTTTAGGAAATATGCAATGAAAAAAATGCTTGAAAGGAAAATAACTCATCACAATATCAGTCTCAAGCAGTTCCAAACTAAAGTTTTATTTATCTACTTTTTCTAAATTTTGCCGTTGTTGCAGCTCCTTTCTCTAGTAACAGAATATGTTTAAAAGGAGTGTATTATCCCTAATAAATCTTATGTTTGCTTTTTAATTTATCCCATCATCTGTAGCAGGCAGTTAAAAGCGTTGGTTCAGTCATGGGATTACAAGATTTAAATTTAACAAAGAATTCAAATCACTGCCGATGTAGTACGTTACAAGTATAAATCTAAATACAGGCAGTTAAAAAGAACCAATTTAATTCACAGCTGTCTTCAATTTAAAACATGGTTATCATTTAGGTTTTTATTTCATTTTGTTTTGTTTTTTGTTTGTGTATGTATGTGTGTGTGTGAGAGACAAAGTCTCACTCTGTTGCCAGGCTGGAGTGCAGTAGTGCGATCTTGGCTGAGTGCAGTGGTGCGATCTTGGCTCACTGCAGCCTCTGCCTCCTGGGTTCAAGCAGTTCTCTGCCTCAGCCTCCTGAGTAGCTGGGACTACAGGCGCGTGCCACCATGCCTGGCTAGTTTTCTGTATTTTTAGTAGAGATGTGGGTTTTACTTTGTTAGCCAGGATGGTCTTAATCTCCTGACCTCATGATCCACCCTCCTCAGCCCCCCAAAGGGTTGGGATTACAGGCGTGAGCCACCGTGCCCAGCCAGGTCTTCACTTCTTTTTATGAATGGGAGTGCTACGTCTTGCATGGCATGGAAGTTGAATAACTTTAAAAATGTGAATTGGGTTATATACCACATTGTTTTCCCTTTTGAAATTTTTGTTAAGTTTCTTAATTGCTAAAGACCATTTTAGGGCCATGGATTTAAAAGGAAATCATTTTTTTTCCTTTAGAAATGGATATTTGTTTTAAAAGTAAATAGAAAAACATTAATCTAAAAACTTTTGGAACTAAATATTGCAATCAGTTGGAAACAGAAAGAACATCGGTTATGTCATTTCCAGAAAGAAAAGTTTTATTTTGATCTTAGAATTAAAATATTTTATGAAATATCAATATTATTTTAGACTAGAATGCAAAGATTGCCTGGAATTTTAAGGTAAAAATACAAGCTTTTGTAATAATTTTGCACATGCAGAAGACTGTTACAAGCTATACCTCTCAGCTGCTCTCCCAGTTAGGGAATTAGGAAAGGACACTGAGGAAATGGTTGAGGACTGAGGATGAGGAAGAATCAAGTATATGGAGAGTAGAAAGGACAGTATCCAGACAAAGGAATCAGCATGTGTCAAGGTCATGAGGCAAAATGAACTGGATTTTACTAAAGGAAAAGCAATATGATGTGAGTGTAGAAATGAAAGGGAAGAATAACAGGAAATTTGGTTGGAGAAGCAAGCAGAGTGAACCTATAGGGCCTGGTAGCCTTGGTAAAGAGCTTGGAGTTGAAGTCACTGAAGAGAGTTAAGCAGGAAAGTGACTTATCCCAGTGTACATTTTTTCAAAAATCATTTTCATTGCTATATGGACCATAGATAGGAGAGGCAGGAGTTGAAAACTGGTGGTCAGCCTCAGGAGACAATTGTAGAAGTCCAAGTAGGAGGTAGTGGTGGTGGTAGAAAAGAAGAAAAATTAATGAATTAATTGAGCGCAAAATCACAGAAACCTAAGTCAGAGCTCATACTTCTTGTTTTTCTCCCTAGTAATGTTTGAAGCTATAACAACATCATACTGGTTATATTTAATTTATAAAATAATTTCCAAATTTTCCAGTGGCACCAATTTTTCTTTTCAATTTGAAGGATTCTTTTACAACTCTACTTAGTAATTTCTTTTTCTTTTTTACATCTTTCATAATGTTGAAAAACTAATTCTGCTTTCTTTTTAAGAGAAAAGAAACCTCGTTTATTCCCTCTGAAAATGAGAAGATTTCTAAACAGCTCCTCCTTTGTTATAATATTGTGAAAGATTGTTATGTTCGAGTTTCAAATAACAATCAAACCATTTCTGGATGGGAGAATGGCGTGTGGAAAATGGAATCTATATTCAGAAAAGTTGAAACCGACTGGCACATGGTAACTTAATGCATAAAACCATTTAAAACTTTTGTCATGGTATAAAAAAATACAGATTGGCTGCATTTTTTCAGTTGTACAAAATGTGAAAACTGATATATCAAACTTATTTCCAGTAATCCTTTAACCTGGGAAGGAAAGTTCTATCCCCAATGTGTAATCAAAAGTCCACTAGAAATTCTTACATTTATATCAAGGAAGTGTCTATTTTCATCAAAGAGGATGAATTTAATTCTTTCATGGGGAAAAATAATCAAATGTATGATCAATCCATGTGACTGGTTTTTGCATGAATATATATATATAGTATATTGCTAATTAAGTCCTTCTTAATCTCTGTAACAGATGTGTATTGATTGCCCATTAAATGCAGGCTATTAGGGAGTATAATAGATTCAGTTCAAAATTTCAATAAGTTAAACATCTAACAGCCTTTCACTTCAAAGAATGTGAGTGATTGAGCAGCAGTAATAGTTATTTCTTCTCTGTATCTTAAAAACATAAGAAGAGGTTAGGACCATGGCAGTTCTCTTATACCAAGTTGCATATTGTCATCAGTCACATGCTAACAATAACAAATAAGAGGCTTAGCTTTAAAACTACGCGCTCTTTAGAAACACACCAAAATAAGCTTAAAGCTATTCACATGACCTCAATAGATCTGATCATATTGATAGATTTTCATGGAATTAGTTAACTTATAGGAAGCTTTTAAAGTTAATTTATCAAGTTACTTGAGTGGGAAGTTATTCATTTGTGAAATATATTAGCTAGACTACAAAATTGAGTCACAGATAAACAGCTGCTAGTGTTTATGAGCATCTATTATATGCTGTCACTGTACTAGGCATTAATCAAATTACAGAAGACATACAGTGGGAAGGTCTCTGCTTTTCTCTTTTTCAATCGTAAGTTTTTGTTCCAAAACCAAACTTGCTTTTTAAACATAGAAATGTTCCGTTTAAATTACATTGCCTAATACTAAAAAAGCTGAGGTCTTTTGGTATTAAAGAATAACTTACAGGATTATTATTATTAGAAATTTTGGAATTTCCTTTAAAGAAATGCATGAAAATAAAAATAAAATGTAAAATTTTAAGATATCAGGCCGGGCGCGGTGGCTCAAGCCTGTAATCCCAGCACTCTGGGAGGCCGAGGCGGGTGGATCACGAGGTCGAGAGATCGAGACCATCCTGGTCAACATGGTGAAACCCCGTCTCTACTAAAAATACAAAAAATTAGCTGGGCATGGTGGCACGTGCCTGTAATCCCTGCTACTCAGGAGGCTGAGGCAGGAGAATTGCCTGAACCCAGGAGGCGGAGGTTGCGGTGAGCCGAGATCGCGCCATTGCACTCCAGCCTGGGTAACAAGAGCGAAACTCTGTCTCAAAAAAAAAAAAAAAAAAAAAAATTTTAAGATAAGTGTAATTCGTTTGTATAGAGATGAGAGAGAATGAACATCTTCTGGAAGGCTATCTGTAGCCTAAGAATTTCTCTGAACAGAAAGCAAGATAAAATAAAAGTGTTATTTATCCAATGACTAGTCTATACTTGCTGAAATGGAGAAAAATCACGTGTTTCCTCCTAACTAGCAATGTTAATAAAGTAGTAATGATGGGAAAAATAGTGATGTGTTACAGAAGATGTGATATGCCAAGAAACAGAGCTACTCTATAGAGTATTTCTTCTTTGTGTTATACACTCATTTGTTCATCAGCAAACTGGTACTATTGCGCCAGGCATTGTTCTCAGTTACATGGACAAAAAGATGATTCCTGCTCTCACGATCTAACAAGGGAAGCCAAAGCATAAACAGCCATCTTAACCATGATGCAGAGTGCTATAATAAGGATATCAACACATTGCTATGGAAACAGCGAGGTGGGAGTAATTAGTTCTGGCTATGGGAGTTGGGCAAACGAGCAGACGACATTTGAGCTGGATGCTGAAGGATGAGTAGGTGTTCGTCAGGCAAGGAAACAAACAAACAAAAAAGGCATAGGGTATGTGGCATGTTTCGAGATCTCCAAATAGACCATTGCAGCCAGAGAGGATCTATCGTATGAGTAAGATTTGAATAATGTAAATGAGAGACAAAGGTCATTAAATAGAAAACACACCCCAATTCAAGTAAACTTATGTCTTGATATATTTTTATGAATGGTACCATTTTTTTAAGTTGGATTAATTCATCTCTAGCTACAATATTTAGTATCAAACGAAAAGTACTAGACACTTTATAGAGAATGATAACTTGGAAGTAACAGTTGTCATAACTTGGATATTCTGTCTAAATCAGTATTTCTGGTTCTGTACTAGCACGCCCCCAATTAGGGATTTTCTGGCTCTGTTGAATAGTAAAGCTATTTCTCACCACACCTTTTCTCAGTAATCTCCAACTAGGTATCGTGACAGATCACATGCAGCCTGCTTTCAGAGTTTTAGAACAGATTCTTCACCTCTCAGTATTTAGCAAATAACATTGTTCGGTAATATCTGAAATGAAAAGAATATAAAAACTAAATCAAGAGAACCGGTAAGCTTTTTGGGAGGCGAGTGATAACACCTTGATGAAAGCAATGTGAATAGCTTCCTAACTAATCTCCCTCCATCTGCCCTAATCCTTTCAAAGCTGTGATCTATGCTATCACTAAAGAAACCTTTACAAAACCTTAATCCTTAACTTACCGCTCTTAGAGTAAGACATAGCTCCAAGTCTTTTCCAAATCTGATCCTTGCCTTCTTCTCTGGCTTTGCCTTGCACTGTGCTACCCCTTGCTCTCTGCATTGCAGATGTATTGCCCCTTCTCCCTTCTCCACAGAACCTCCTCTACTTCTCTTTTTGGATTAATTTATTCCTAACCTCACCACTTGGCCCAAGCCTCACTCCCGCAGGTCCCAGCAGACTGAATCCATTTCCCTCTTTATAGATTCCTTTCACCATGTACCTCTCTTCAATGACATTTATTCAACAAATACATATGAGAATAAATTATTTGCCTCTTTCCCATTAGATTGTAAACAGTTCTCAGGGAGAGACCCTGTCTTTTTCTACTCACTTTTGTACTCTCAGTGTTCGTATATCTGGCATTAGTGCTTGATACATAATAAGTGTTTAGTATTAAAGATTGGTGAATGTAGAAATGTATGTGACGTAAATTCTGTATCACCCTAGGGCTATGTAGAGCACTGTAAACACTTTCTTAGATCCTTTTTGGTTTTGATCAGTTTTACTCCTTTCTTTGTCACTACAGTCATTTTAGCTTTTTTTTTATGCTTGGCATTATGTCAGGAATTCATTCAGCACTCAGCAAATACAGACATTGTCAAATATTGTGCTTGGCATCAGATGTAATGATGAATTAAGAGGCAAGCCTCAAGCAGCTGGTATAAGTGAAAGACATGTGGGCCAACTGTTTAGATTAATGGGGTAAATGGTAGAAGAATATGTGTTTATTTATGTTACTGAGGGAAAGAAGACAGAAACAAGAGCCACTAACACCCTGAGTCTGAGTAGTAAAAAATACCTCATACTTCAAGTGTGTGGTTTTTTTTTTTTTCTGTTCTCTTTACAACAATCAGCTCAGACCTCTGTGACCAAATATGTAGGGGGGTTTCCCCAAAACAAGCAAGCAAGCAGTTCTGCAGTAGAACCAGCTGAGTGACCTCTAACGCAATCAGTTCTAACATGATCTACCCTAGACACACAGGTCTTGTTCTCATGCAGAAGTATATGCCTGTATGTGCTTACCGACATCGAAAAGGAGCAAGAGTGGGTCACTGGTGGTAGGAGGAGTGGAGTGGTATATATAGAATACAGGAGAAAACATCCATGATTTCTGACTTTACTAGTACTCCTGCTTAAGTTGGGTAGCGACACTCACCTCTTAGAGACCTGCAGATTACAAAACCAAGATTATAGAATGCACACAATACACTTGAAACTTTTTTTAAAAACCAACAGGCAAAAATGTGTATCAAATAACTCACAACATTAGGAACAATCAGTGGTGGTAAAAAAAAATTTTTTTCTCTACACCAGATAAGTGAGTGAGTGCTTTTTTTCCTTTTAAATAAATTATAGTTTATTTGTGATTGTGTTGGTATTATACATAGACAGGACCACAATTGGAGGTTTTTTTGTTTGTTTGTTTGAGATGGAGTTTTGCTCTTGTTGCCCAGGCTGGAGTACAATGACACGGTATCATCTCACTGCAACCTCTGCCTCCCAGGTTCAAGCGATTCTCCTGCCTCAGCCTTCCTTAGTAGCTGGGATTACAGGCATGTGCCACCACACCCAGCTAATTTTGTATTTTTAGTAGAGACAGGGTTTCTCCATGTTGGTCAGGCTGATCTTGAACTCCGGGCCTCAGGTGATCTGCCTGCCTCGGCCTCCCAAAGTTCTGGGATTACAGGAATGAGCCACCCCGCCCAGCCAGTTGGAGGTTTTTTATAAATTCTGTTGTTGCCAGGGCACAGTGGGTCTTTGGGAGGCCAAGGTGGGCAGATCACCTGAGGTCGGGAGTTCAAGACAAGCCTGACTAACATGGAGAAACCTTATCTCTTAAAAAAACAAAAAACAAAAAACCTATTGTTTTGGTACTTTTTAGTTTACCAACTGAGTATACGTATTCTTGGTAACTTTCTAGCACCTCTAAAAATGAGTCTTTCACAGAATATATTGTACAAAAAAGATGATACGAATTTTCTGTATAAATCGCGTCTGTTTTATCTCCGTATACTGTTTCTTTAACATGAGACCTTTTTTATTTTGCTCATAGTATGTTTGAATGTTTAAACATTTAAGTATTGAATCATAAATTCTGTCTTATTCTTTAACTTTCTTGTCTTAAAAGCTGATGATGCCTTTAGGACTGAAAATTTTGTCTTTAACAGATGCTCTCAGGCATGTTCAACAGCTATTAGAAACCTTCTCTTGCAGTTAAAACTGCAGTCTGCCCCAGACCCACTCATAATTAAGGCACTTACTGGAGTAAGCTAGATATTTGAAGTTTACCTAACTTCAACCTATCATATTTTAGATCCACACTTTTGAGGGACATCTGAAACTAGTGAGCTCTGAAAATATACAAGATACAGTAATGGATACTGAAACATAAATTGGAGTGTATCTCTTAATATTTCTGTCTTAAGATTACTTTGCTCAAGTCTTTTATTTCTTTTAGTTCACCTTTCTTCCAGTAACCTCTCTGTTTGACTTTTCTTTCTCAGATATCCCCCTTTGCTAGCCACTCCTTTAAAGGAGCAATTAACCTGTGCATAACCCAGATGCCTGATAGTTTAGGGTGGGTGAAACTAATGAATCCCAGGGAACACTGGTGGAGTCCTGAGTCCCACATCTTCCTTACAAACAGCTATAAGATTAATGGGCACACCTGGAAGAAAAATAGCTATAGGTTATTTGTCAAATAGATAGTGACTAGAATACTATCAGTGATTGATTTTTTACTTGATGAGTAAAGACCAGAATATAGAACAGTACATGTAATAGGATATTCCATAGCAGATGTATTTTATATGGTATTTTCAACTATTTGCCTCCGAGCTAGAGTATGAGTTAGATATTTCTAAAAAGATCAAGTCTAACGTATATACAGATCTTTAATACTTAATAAATACTTAATATTTACTGAATATTTTTATCTTTTTTTTAGACAGAGTCTCGCTCTGTCGCCCGGGTTAGAGTGCAGTGGCACGATCTCACTGACTGCAACCTCCACCTCCCTGGTTCAAGCAGTTGTCATATATGAGCCTCCTGAGTAGCTGGGATTACAGGCGTGTGCCAACATGCCCAGCTAATTTTTGTATTTTTAGTAGAGACAGGGTTCTACCATGTTGGCCAGGCTGGTCTTGAACTCCTGTCCTCAAGTGATCCAACTGCCTCAGCCTCCCAAAGTGCTGGGATTACAGGTGTGAGTGACCACGCCTGGCCCTAAATGCTTTTATGAATCCAGAAACTGTGCCCCCAGAGAGCTTATGATTTGTTGAAGGTAGGTCAGAGTATTGGCAGTATAAAGGTACAGTATAGTATAAAAGAATATAAAGGGCCATTGGCAGTTCAAGGTGGGATGAAATTGAGGAGGATTTTTAAAGCTAATAGATTCGACTTAATGCAATAGCCAGGTACTTGCTGTACATTTTAAACCAGGCAGACAAAGAAAGTGGGATTTTAAAACACTAGTCTGATTAGAGCTGGGCACAATAGCTTACCCCTATAATCTCAGCAACTCAGGAGACTGAGGCTGGTGTTCAAAAACAGCTTGGGCAACATAGAGACGTCATCTCTAAAAAAATTTTCAGTTAGGCAGGCATGGTGGTTGGAGGCTGAGGCAAAAGGGTCGTTTGAACCCAAGAGTTCGAGGCTGCAGTGAGCTATGATTACACTTGAGTGTAAGGTTCAAACTATAGTAGTAAGTGCATTAGTAGTGAATAAGTAGTTTCTTTTCGAGAATTATTTTTTAAAAATACATAGATTTTTGTGGAAATTTAGACATAAAGGATGCACAGCTGAAGAGTCATAGTCTTAGGGGTTTGAGCATGGTTGAATAGAGTGACCTGTGAAAGACCAAGGCTGTGGATGTCAGTTTCCATGACAGTGTTTTGAGGACTGTAGACGAAAGTAAGAGAGAGGATGAGCTGGAAACAGCCAGTAGACTTAGATGCCTTAAATAGCATACACTTAACGTGCTAAAGGGCATTAATGAAGGCACAGAGAACATGGAATTTATAGAAGTGAGCATGGATATCACCTTTTAAACCATTAGTTAGCAATGGCTGAGGTATTTTCTTGATTTAGAGGCTATATTTCATGCTAGGAAAGCTTACATGAAAATCCAAACTTAGAAAAGAAATAAAAATTAAGGAGTAGTTGCATTTAAAAGAGTTCTTTGTTTTTCAGCAGGATTAATCATAAAACTCATTTTAAAGAGTTGAACTTCTTAATATAAAAGAATATGATTTTTGAAAATTTGGTTAGTATGCAGTCCTTTAGAGCTACGCTTACTGGGGACATCTGCATTCAAATAATACCTTTCTTCTAGGGCAAAAGATGCCACGGGAAAAATTGTCAGAAAAAAATGTTCGCAGTAAGAACCTTTTCAACAGGGAAAAGTTAGTTTTTAAATAACCACTTGTATACTCCCCTGTGACAGTAATAGTCTTCACTAAGTTTGTTTTCTATACTATTTCATTATTTCTGACAGTTCCCTTCTCCCCATCCCTACTCCTTATAGGTATATCTGGCCCGAAAGGAAGGATCATCTTTTGCTTATATTTCCTGGAAGTTTGAGTGTGGATCGGTTGGCCTAAAAGTAGATAGCATTTCTATTAGAACAAGTAGTCAAACTTTTCAGACTGGAACAGTAGAGTGGAAATTGCGATCTGATACAGCACGAGTAGAACTGACAGGAGGTAAGCATTTGACTAGAGAATTAATCATGAAATATATATATTTACCAATCTGAAGACTAATTGTACTTACTTGAAATGTAGCGCTAACTTTTTCATACCCAAGACTTATTGATACTATCTCAGTAAAAAAAAAAAAAAAAGTTAACAAAAGCCTGTGTGATGCCATTGTAACAGAAAGGCTGATGTTTTCTGTTGTGAAATACAATCCAAGGAAAAAAATCTTTTTTTTTTTTTGTTTGTTTCAAAGGATGTATTTCTTCCATAAAGAATAATTAAATTTTTTAGATATTTTAAAATATTTAAATATTTTTAAAAGGTTTAAATATTTTTAAAGGTTTAACTTATACATCAGCCTATATAAAATGCATTTCAAAACTATCTGTGTTCTTTAAATTACCAAAAGCAAAATGTTAATTTTTTTTCCCTCTAACAGATAAAAATCTTCACTCCTATGCTGATTTTTCTGGTGCCACTGAAGTTATTTTGGAAGCAGAATTAAGCGGAGGAGATGGTGATATCGCCTGGCAGCACACCCAGCTGTTTAGACAAAGCTTAAATGACCATGAAGAAAATTGTTTGGAGATAATTATAAAATTCAGTGACCTTTGAGAACTTGAACATTATAGAAAAAAGCTGGCAGTAATCAAGGAGTTACTGAAGTAGTCTGTTGGTTCAGTGCATGCTTAGTTGGCAATTACCACCCTGTGCTAGCATATTTCTTTTGCTAGCTATCCATCATGTAACCCTCATGAAAAATTATCTTTATACTGTGGACTATAATAAAATCCTGAATTAAAAGTCTTTCTTCCATATGTGACTATAATTTGGAGTAAAGTCTTGTTGACACAATATGGGATTTTAATATAAAAACTATAAGTATGATTTTAAAAGTTGAATGATAGTATTCATGATTAAATGCTATTCATGATTATGATAAAATCTTGGGCTTATAATAGTAATTTGACATTTTCTGATCAGCCATTAATTTCTTCATAAGTGATTGAGTTAGAGTCTCCTAATATTTTTAATTTTTAATGTGAAAGTATAGTATCTCATAAATTATATAATGCATGAAAATTTATATGATTGTAAATATGTAGGCATTTAAGAAATAAAATGAATTATTTTGCCTTACATCTTTTTAGTGGTTATTTTGGCTAAATAAAACTTTTTACTTTTTGCTGAACATTGAAAAATACTTGAATAGATATGAGTTATGAAAACGTTTAACATCAATAGCATAAATTAAAAGGTACATTTTAAATTTCATAATACGTGGACATTTTGAAAATGCCTTACCTTTGAAAAATACATATTTATTTATTTATTTATTTTTTAGATGGAGTCTTGCTCTGTCACCAGGCTGGAGTGCAGTGGTATGATCTCAGCTCACTGCAGCCTCCACCTACCAGGTTCAAGTAATTCTCTTGCCTCAGCTTCCCAAGTAGCTGGGACTATAGGTATGCACTACCACACCCGGCTGATTTTTTTGTATTTCTAGTAGAGACAGAGTTTCACTGTGTTGGCCAGGATGCTCTCGGTCTCCTGACCTTGTGATCCACCCACCTTGGGCTCCCAAAGTGTTGGGGTTACAGGTGTGAGCCACCACACCCAGCCGCCTTTGAGTTATATTTTTACCTCATTGAATAAAATATTTTTGACTTTAAAACTATGTAACTATATTATACAGTATATACTGTATCAAGAGTTTTTATGTATGTTCTATATAACCTCTTAAGTTTAGTGAACATTTATTAAGCATTTATGTATAAAGCATTGTGATAGCACTATAGAGGAAGCAGTGGTGAAAATGACACAGCCCCAAGCCTCCAAAATCCTTTGTGATATTCTGCAAAGTGAGTTCTTAACTCTTTATACAAGAAAAGGACATCCTCAGAGAGTCTTACCTTGTGCCACTTACCTAGAACATGACATGTATTACAAAATAAGATGCTGAAATGAAAGTCTTACATTTGCTTTATTCTTTTTTTCTTTTTAGAGATGAGATCTTCGGTGTTGCCTAGGCTGCTCGGGACTCCTGGGCTTAAGCCATCCTCTCACCTCACCCTTCCAAACAGCTGAGACTATAGGCATGCACCATTGCTTCCAGCTTATATTTGCTTTGTGATTGCAGTAAAACTCTGTTTAGAATCACTTTTTGCTTAAAAGTTATATTTCAAAAGAAGTAATGTATGCATCTGAAATTATTAATAGGTCTTGAATATAAGAACGTTTTTTGGAACTCTCTAAGTTATTTTAGCCTATAGTAGCCAAGTACTTAAGATTGGAGAGACCTGACACTTACGTGTCTTGTGGTATCTATTGGGACAGTGAGTATCTTGATCATATGGGCTAATCCTGTTAACTGGCCTGAGAAAACCTAGAACTTTTCAAGCAGTTTTATAAGGATGGTCATAGAATGTAGGAACTCAACTGAATGGATGCATTCCAACTTTTACTGTGGCTTTAAGCAGAAAAAAATGATTGGAGTCCAAATGTTTTATGTCGTTATAGAGTTAAACTGTCAAAAAGAAAAGGTAGTTGCACACTTTTTTTCTGAATATTTTTCAATATATATACATATTCTTTATTTTACTTTAAGTTCTGGGATACAAGTGCAAAACGTATAGGTTTGTTACATAGATACACGTGTGCCATAGTGGTTTGCTGCACCTATCAGCCTGTCATTTAGGTTTTAAGCCCTGCATGAATTAGCTATTTGTCCTAATGCTCTCCCTCCCTTTGTACTCCACCCCATGACTGGCCCAGGTGTGTGTTCCCCTCCCTGTGTTCATGTATTCTCATTGTTCAACTCCCACTTACGAGTGAGAACATGTGGCATTTTTTTTTTCTGTTCCTGTGTTAGGTTGCTAAGGATGATGGCTTCCAGCTTCATCCATGTCCCTGCAAAGGATGTGATCTCATTCCTTTCTCTGGCTGCATAGTATTCCATGCTGTATATGTACCACATTTTTTTTAATCCACTCTGTCATTGATAGGTGTTTGGGTTGGTTCCAGGTCTTTGCTACTATAAATAATGCTGCAATAAACATACGTGTGCATGTGCCTTAATATTAGAGTGATTTATATTCCTTTGGGGATATACCCAGTAATGAGATTGCTGGGTCAAATGGTATTTCTGGTTCTAGATCTTTGAGAAATCACCACACTGTCTTCCACAATCGTTGAATTAATTTACATTCCCACCAACCGTGTAAAAGCATTCCTGTTTCTTCACAGCCTCACTAGTATCTATTGTTTCTTGACTTTTTAATAATTGCCATTCTGACTGGCATGAGATGGTATCATTGTGGTTTTGATTTGCAATTCTTGAATGGTCAGTGATGTTGAGCTTTATTTCATGTTTAGTGGCCACATAAATGTCTTTTGATAAGTGTCTATTCATATCCTTTGCCCACTTTTTGATGGGATCGTTTGTTTTCTTCTTGTAAATTTGTTTCAGTTCCTTGTAGATTCTGGATATTAGCCCTTTGTCAGATGAATGGATGGCAAAAATTTTCTCCCATTCTGTAGGTTGCCTGTTCACTCTGATGATAGTTTCTTTTACTCTGCAGAAACTCTTTAGTTTAATTAGATCCAGTTTGTCAGTTTTTGCTTTTATTACAATTGATTTTGGCATTTTCATCATGAAGGCTTTTTCTATGCCTCTGTCCTGAATGGTATTGCCTAGGTTTAATCAATGTGCAAAAGTCACAAGCATTCCTATACACCAACAGTAGACAAGCAGAGAGCCAAATCATGAATGAACTCCCTTTCAAAATTGCTACAAAGATAATAAAATACCTGGGAATACAGCTAACAAGGGATGCAAAGGACTTCTTCGAGGAGAACTACAAACCACTGCTCAAGGAAATAAGAGAGGATGCAAACAAATGGAAAAACATAACATCCTTATGGATAGGAAGAATTAATATAATGAAAATGGCCATACTGCCCAAAGTAATTTATAGATTCAATTCTAGTTCAATCAAACTACCATTAACATTCTTCACAGAATTAGAAAAAAATAAATTTTATATAGAACCAAAAAAGAGCTCGTATAGCCATGACAGTCCTAAGAAAAATGGTTAACAAAGTTGGAGGCATCAAGCTACCTGACGTCAAACTATACTACAAGTTTGGAGTAATCAAAACAGCATGGTACTGGTACCAAAGCAGATGTAAAGACGGATGGAACAGAACAGAAATCTCAGAAAGAACACCTCATCTATAACCATTGCGACAAACCTAACAGAAACAAGCAATGGGGAAAGGATTCCCTATTTAATGAATAGTGCTAGGAAATCTGGCTAGCCATATGCAGAAAATTAAAACTTGTACCTTGTACAAAAATTAAGATAGATTAAAGACCAAAATGTAAAACACTTTTCTTAAATGTATTTCATCAGTTTCAACCCTGAGCATACCCAATATGTGTTAATAGGTATTTCATCATACAAAAAAGTTTGGAAATGATACAGAAGGTATGGGACAACACAGTTCTCAATAATGTGAAAAGTCTAATGACAGTAAGCTGGTAAGGCAAAAGTCACTTAGGCAAAGAATGGCAGATTAAGTACAGAGCCCTCAGTGAGCCACCAATATTAACGTACATTTCATTAAGGATCTTCTGATTGATAAACTTTCCACTGCCATTGCACGTTATTTAAAAAGAATCTATACCGTGGTTTCAGGTCAGATCCCGTCATGATGAATTCCACAGACACCGCTGTTGTTGCAGTGTTTTATTTTTTAAGAAAGTCCTTTGCTGAAAACCACATTCTCGTGGTGAACAAGAAGTAAAACATGCTTTGATCAATTTACAAGGAAAAAAAGTGCTTCTGATTAAAGGAGGGCCAGAGAACACTTTGTTATAGAACACTTTTTAGATGGAAAGGGTTGTTAGAGATAATTTAACCCAGACTTCTTAATTTTCAGTGGAGAAAACTCAAGCCCAGAGAAGGTAAATGACCTGTCCTAAAAATTCAGTGAAACAGTGGTGTAGGCAAGATTCATTTCTACATCAAGTTGCAAGGTTATAGGATCAGGCCGGCAAGCGGGTTGCTGTTTTAGTATGTGCTACATGAATATAGATTCTTCAATAGAAATGTTCAAGTTGAGAAGGTATTACAATTGAAATTAGAAGGTATTAATATTGAAATACAGAAACTTTAATAGAAATTTTCAAGTTGAGAAGCTGTCACAATTTAAATTGATTTTTCTAACTATAGTTAAGCTTTTCTAAAGATTTTTTTTCCTCTACAACAACAAGTTGTGTTTTGATTTTGTAGTATCAGCAAGTACACCTTCATAAACTAATAGCAGATCCAGGTAGGGTACCTTCCTTAAATCCTTTTGGAAGAAGAAGAAGAGGAAACCAATACAGGTCATGATTGGTTTTATTTCTCTTAGCATATATTCAGTTATATTCTTCATATTGACTAAAACACTGTTTTATTTTTGGTAAGAGATTTAGAATAGACCTAAACCTATAGTCACCACGTTTAGAGTTTTTAATAAGTGCTAGTGACTTTCAGTGTCTCATTTTATCATGATGGCATTGTACAGTAGGCACTGTATCTTATCCCCATTTTATAGGTGATGAAACTGAGGAGTTAAGTGGGAGCCAGTATTTTAATGCCTGTGTGTTCAACATACCTTTCCTATTTCTTAAGCCACAGTAAAAACAGACTCAGAAGTTGAGACCTTCCTCTCGTCTCTCTTAGTTTTCTAAAGACTTGCTCTGGAATTAACAAAATTGTTTTATAATCATATAACAAAATATTATAAAGCAAAAGTACTGCCTCTTCTCCCCATGCTCTATATTATTTTCCAAGCTAACTGCCAAAAATTTTGCATGTGTCCTTCCAAAGGTTTCCTATGGATTTTCATGTCTATATTTCCCTGTTTACTTTTGAGGTTAAACAGTTTTTAAATGTTCACTGGCCATTTTTGTTTTGTATATAAATTTTCTGTATATATTTATGTAGTATATATAAAATTATATGTTAATATATTTACAATATATAAAATTGAATTTATATGTAAACACACTCATACCTTTTTCTATTGGATGGGTTCTTTGCTTTGATAATCATGTTTAATATCCAACTCTTTATGATTGCTTTTCTTCA